ACCCCCAACATGAGCGTTTTGGTTCTCGGAGTCAGAGTCAGCGTCTTGGATCGCTGATGGGAGGCACTTACACGTGTGATGTTCATCGCCGTCACCTTATTATCTCACAATTCACAGTCAAAAGATGGACAACATAAAATTGGGAGAGGCGACCAATCAGGGTCTCCAAAGTCAAGTCGTTTCTTATCTCGAGCCAACCACCGTTCACTATCTCTCCAGGTGCACTAAAACGGAACAAGCTCGTGCCGTGCACACCACACACACGGCAGCCAAAGCGTGCCAAGGGTAGAAGATCGTCTAGCGCCGTCTTTAGTCGACGCCATCGCGCAGATGCACCTGTCTCACCATGCTTCGGGAGTCCCTGCGGGGACCCTGCCTGCGAGGTTAGGTTCTCTGAAGTGTTGCAGTTGCAGTGGGCTTGCATGAAAGACGTCACTGAGATGGGCAATTCGAACCGGTACAACACTGAGAGGCCAATGGTTGCAAGGGCTGTAAAAACATGTGGTCTGGGGAAAGACAGACAGCATCTGAGGAGTTTTGTTACGGATCTCAAGTCACTGCTCCCCGGTGTATGATGACCTAGCATGGCCTTTGTCCTCCGCTAGACATGACAGCGCATGTCTCTCACAAATACGTACGCCCTCAACTCGTCTCGGCCGCATTACAGTCAAGACTCAACAGGATCCAGTCCAATGCTACCAGATCTCGTTCGCGTTGGCCGTATTTCCTAGCGCGGGGAGCCACAATTGCTTATCTCTCGGCGCTGATACCGCATATAAAATATGCTAAAACGGCGGCGGGCGAATGGATCCCGAAAGGAGCTCAAATCAAGAGTTGAGAGATTATAAATAAAAGCGAGTTGCTGGCTGGTTTGCCTTGAGCGGAGACTGCTTGTGGACCACAGCGAGTTCGGCGGTGCTAAACGGCATCTCATGTTAGTAGCTTGTGCTGCTCTTATTGCTGCCCTGCTGTCGCTGTAGCCTACATTGTTAGGCTGGACAGTCTGCAGTAAGTGCAGTGCATCTCCATTAGTTACGGGCTTGCGGAGCCGTCAATCCGTAGACATAGCTTCGTTCAACCTATGACCAGAGATGCCCAGAGTCCAACTTCCCGATCCCCGAAGACCCAGAGCAAAAACAGAAACCCTCATTCAGTTCGAGGCCGACGGAGAGAGGCCGACGGTCTTTGCGGCCAAATTCCGGAGTTGCTATGGATGCTTTGCTGTGCTCACTGCTGGCTAGGGAGCCTCCCACTCCTGATTCCGACTTCTTCCGATGTCCATCTCGAGTTTTGCTACAGGTATTTTACGAGCTACTTTACCTACCAAGGTATGGAACCGAATTCTTTGCATGAAGCAAGGGTCTAGCGCTGTACGGTACAGGGCAGTAATGCAAGCGACGTTGCAAGAGTTTGTCGAGCCATCCATCCAATGCTGAAGCAGCACAAGGCACAGCACACGGCAATCGAAGATTTGGTTACCAAACAAAATGAATAAACCACCGACTCTCCCTGCACATTGTTGATCGTATCAGAAAGTCTCCGAAGGGAAATCATAAGCTTGGCTCAAGGCGGTGAGTTCAGTTCAATTTCAGATCGACAGAGTTGCAGTCGCTGTTCGGGGGTTTCATTTCCCAGATCAGAGACATGAGTCTAGAACAAGCAAGGTGTTGCCCTCTGCTGTAAACCGCTCATGTCAAGGCTCAAGCCGACCCAGCCGCTGAAAAATAGTCGGCCGTATTTGAGGTAGTGTTAGGTCGACCAGAGATGCTCACAGTCAGCCAAACTCGGGTCTCATAATTCACATATCACTTTTTGATCGAAAACCCTGCCAAATCCTTTATTAACTCATTAACATTTTGTGAAGCTTGTATTGTTGCATTGTTTCAACAACAGATTCCCACCAATGGCGGCTAATAGGCGCTGAAGCGCGTTTATGGCGGGAACTGCCCCGCCATTTCGTAAGAGGAAACTTAAGGTTGTCCTGGAAATGTCAAGTCAATACAACATCAATAGCTACACCTAACAGCTTGACGCGACCGCGTCTCGACCTGGCTGCCATGTTTACCACACTACCAGACTTTACACCGCGAGACGTAAGGCTGTTATGGATGTAGTTAAATACAAATGCTAATATGCTTAGTCGCATTCTTTGTGGTACAGATCTTCTCGCAGTCCTTACACCACCCCACCTGGACCTCTCGACGACTTTAGCGGTGATACACATAACATTCAACATGGCGCAAACCAGGCCCGACAACGAACAAAGCTCATTGAGCGATCAGCGCTCGCTCGGTTGGCCGCAGACGAACAGTACATGCAGAGAAGACGACTGAACGTCCAGAATTATGGCAGCGGCTGGCTGAAACCCCCAGGTGTTCCTAAGACATTGCACCAGATGCGTGAGGAGAAGCGGGAGCAAGAGGAACACCAAGAAGCAATTCGCCGTGAACAATTAGCTCAAGAACTAGCTGAAGCGGAAGCGGAGGGTATGCCTGGCGAGGGTACTATGGATGATGTTCAGCTTGACGGAGCTCAGGATCTAGACGATGAAATTCCTGATGCTGATGAAGAAGGATATGCTTTTGGCGATGACGACGAGGAGAATGAGGACGAAGACGAAGAGGATGAAGAGGACGAGGAAGAGGACGAAGAAGATGGCGAAGAGACAGACGATGAGGCTCTGAGAGCAGAGCGCCAGAACGATCTCATGCAAGCACGTATGAGGATGGGCGACGACGCTTTTCGCGAAGCCCTTGTCCGCGGTGAGCCGGATGCTAACGACATGTACGGTGACACCGAAGAACTCGAAGAAGAAGAGGATAACGGCCATCTTCTCGACGAGGAAGACTTCGCTCAAGATGATGACCTTGGCGTGGATATGGACGCCGATCTTGACGAAGATATCCCCGAGGCTGAGAGCGGCGGCTACGAGCATACCGACTCTGAAGCCGAAATCTCCAGCAGTGAACAAGAGTCATCCAACGAGGACGAGGACGATGATGAAGATGATGTTGACGTTAGTTTCGCACCTCGCTCTGCAACCCTCCCTCGTCCTATGTCGCCTACCTTCCAGGGCCGTTCTAGCATGGCGCATCCACGCGCCAGCATGGATCTAAGTAACCTTCTTTCTCAAGACGGCAGCAGTTTTATGCAGAGCAGTCCCGCTGGACGACGAGCCCGTCACGGCTAGCACTTTACGACTAATGCGACACGACCAACAGATAGACTACTTCAGACAGCAGTGTTATATACCCATTCATTGTTCATTATCAAAACAGAATTGAAGTTGAGCGCTTCCCGTCTTCCAATATGTAAGTGAAAGATGGGTTGCTAGCCACAGGCTTGCCCAGAAGTGTGATTACAACCTTTGTAGGGGGCAACTTGATCGTTGCGTGATGTGATGCTTCTCCCGTGTCTGCCAAGATCACCGATTATCATGCATTATTGTAAATTGCAATACGCCCATCCAAACGCCATTTCAGAATGCACATCATACAGCTCTTTTTCTTTTTCTCAGTCAGTCAATGTCTCCATGCTCTTCAGTCGATGAATCGAGTCGTGTCGTCTGAGGACCTTGAGATCAGAATAGCCAAACGTAGATGAAAAGCATGATGACAGCAGCAAAGAAGATGAGCCAGACCTTCCAGCCAACACCAGTTCGCTGAGCCATGACAAGCATGCGGTTCATAGTGCCACGAAGCCGCAGGCGTGTCGAGTCGAAACTATCGTTCATCTTTTCCGCCAGCGCCGAGGACTCGCGGATCTCGTCTCCAATCGCAACCGTCATCTATCACCCGACTGTCAGCTCTTCCACAATCAACAACCCTTGGAAAGGAGTACAACTCACGTCCTTCAACACCTTGACCTTGCCAAGAATACCCTCCACCTGCGCATCGTTCTGGCTCTCAAGCTCATTGAGCACCGCATCGCTATACTGGCCCCTCTTGTTCGGCGTCGCAGAGCGGAACGAACCAGGTCTTGACGCATCAAAACCTCCTTGTCCAAGGGGCGAAGGCGAGGGGGCTCCGTATCCGCCGTAGCCGTATCCTCGGTTTGGGCTCGCACTAACGGGTCGCCGAGATGCTGCGTCGCCGGTGTAGCCCTCGAAGAGAGCGCTGCGAGAGTCGCGCTGATGAAGCGACGATGCACCGAATCTATGATGCGCTGTCAATATTTTGTCTTGAAACGATTGTTGGGGTTCTGATGATGCGATTTGCCACCATCACCAAAGGAGCGTCGTACCGTTGCGCCATGACTACCTAATTCTGTCGAGACCAGATAGCCGGGGAGACAAACCAAGAAGGGGTTTGTGTATAAAGGAGATGAAGATTAAAAAAAATTATCGAGGGGTTCGCGAATCTTGGGTCCTCCCCCCTACGATACCCTGGTTGTTTTTCTTAGGTGTTCTCTTAGCTGATGACAGCGGTCTGGCTCATTGGATTGGGGAGGTCGGAGGATACGTACCGAGGGGCTGTCCAATCCCGTGTCATGGCCTGGAGCTCGATGTTGAATTTCGACTTGAGGACAAGTCACGATTAAGCTGAGTTTTTGTTGAGATGGGCACTTAATTACGTATACAATGGCGAGTATGATGGTTTTACTATGGATGGTAGGCATAAGTGAGTCAAACATGGCACATGATGTGAGCTTAGAGCAGGCAGAGCTTCAGCACAGCTATAGTTCCTCAAATCAGCACGCCACAAGCATCACAATATTAATCTTGCACAGTGTTTTTGACTGCATTAATGTCATTTCAAATTGCTCATAAATGTATGTAACTGCACGCGTACAGTACATATGCAAAGCAGTTGAATGCTAAAGGTGGCTGATGCTATCCACGACTCCGTGCCGCCTAGATCCCCTAGATCCCCAAACCCAGAGACTGGGTAAACAGGTATAATCATCCGCGCCCGCGCCTTTTTATTTTTGCTCAGTTCCAAAATTCATAACATCGTACTGTCTCCTCCATAAACATCCATCAGATGGATCATGGCACGTATTTAGTCAGACATCTTGGTGTCCTCGTTGGGGGGCTGGAAGTCTTCATCGTCTTCCTCATCCTCGTCGTCGGCAGGGACTTGCTCGGCGGCCTTGGCGAAGTCAATTTGGGCACCTCGAGTACGGCGACCTTCGACAATGTTGCTGGGGTCAATCTCCTCCAAGCCATCTTCCTCATCTGCGCGCGTGGGTTAGCTTGATTCATGGTCTAGTTTGCAAGTGCGTGTAATTACCAGCTTCGGGGACCTATTAAAAACAATGTTAGCAATTGTCGGCAAGCAAGTATAGGAGGACGGCAGCACATACCTCCTCATCATCATCATCATCGCTGTCATCTTCGTCATCCTCATCCATAGCAGTGTCCTCATGCTCAGCAGGGGCCTTTCCCTTTCCCTTCTCCTCGGCAAAGATAGCGCCCTGGACCTGGGAAGGATCCTGGGGAAGAGTAGCGTTGTTGTCGGCCATCGTTGCGTTGGTGTTGCTTTTATGAAAAGTCAAGGAGTGAAATGTGCGATGTTGTTTGGCAGCGGTGTGAATGCAAAAAGAGGTGAACGAAGTGGATGTATGCAAAGGTTGAAATGCGGCGCGAGCTGCGGGTGCTGAGCTGCAAGTGCGACCCAGATCTTGTTCCCTTAATATCCATGGCAACCAGTGGAGGGTGAGCTGATGGATCTAGCCCGATATAGAGTAAGGTAGCCAGTTTTCAAATCCCAAGCCCCCACGTGATCTGCTGGGAGCATTCAATACTTCAAGACGACGGGAGCAAGGCGAGGCAAGAAAACTTAGGACCTCTTTTCTATATAACGAAAAGACTTAAATAAGTTAAGTATATCTTGAAGCCTTTAGATCAGTATATTGTAGCCCATATTTGATACTTCTTTCTGACTCCCTCATAATATGCCCAGGTACTTTGTTAGTCTTCAATGCCTTTTCTCATTAACTGAATGCTCTTTTACTCAAGTGTAATGGCCGTTGCAACCTACTGATTCTCATCGCATATCTGTTCTCGAGATATTGGGACCACAGTACCGTCCGGCTGATCAAATTGCACAATGGTGTCGCCATAAGACTCAATCGATTTAGGGTCCAAAAACTCCTGTGGCAATAAGAGTGTTCTTCAGAACTCGTTCACGCCCCTGGGACACGGGGCTGTATATACATCTTCCAAGTGCTCTGCCATATCATAGAGGCGCGTCTCTATTGGGGTAGAAGAAGTCTGCTACGATGCTATTGCCCATTCTATAATGCAAACAGGCTGCAGCTTCGGCAACTAAGGGCAACTCGCTAGCCGTATACATAAGTTCACTAATCTTATCGTTGCTCGAACAGGGAGCAAGACAGGAGTCGAATTTATCAATTCTAAGTGCTGCCATTCCCAGCCTTTCTGGTAGGCGTTGAAGAAATCCCAGGCATCGATCACGTGTGAGATATAAAGCCGTGTAAGTCCGGAACTTCCAACGTGCAAGTGCTGCGGTAGCTCCAGGATCTGCCACGAGACGAATATCATTGAGGGGGTATAGCTGGCCAGCACCATAGGCAAATGCTACATTGAAGTCCTCGAAAATAACCAAGTCCTTGAGCTACAGTGACAGACTAGTACCGACACGAGATACAAGCTCTATTAGACGTCGGATAAATGGTGATAATACAGGAACTTACCTTCGCCTTAAGTTTCGTAGGCTCTTGTCCTAGACCAACACTGCAGACCATCAGGTAGGGGATGGCGATTTCTTGGATGGAGATGTGATGGCTCCCACACGATGCTCTCAAACTGAAGAAACTTCGCCAGCAATGCCTCAGTGTCCATGGGCGAAATTGGCGGTGGGATTGACGGCGCATAATGAACTACTTGACCGCGGACACCTCCGGGACTACCAGTTGTCTGAGCGTTGGTTTCAACACTGCAAACAATCTTCATGGACATCCCCAATACTATGGCTCTTCAGGCCTGAATTTGCTACGCAAGTTCGGTGGCCCTCGTGACCTAATCGATTTCTAGGTTTTCTTTCCACCGAAGTGGAGGTGAGAATACCGATAATGTGAGTCGCTTGGAGACCGAATAGTCAACTCAAAGGTCAAAGAATACTCCTCGTTAAAGCCATCCAATATGGGGAAGAGCTTTGAAACGGAGTTCCTGATAACCGTGTGGTTTATTTCTTGGTTTCATGACGCTCGTCTTCCAAGCCAAGCTGCTATCCAAACGCTGGAAGCTCAAATGTGTAGCCAAACGTGCTGAATCGTCGACGCATGAGGAAGCTGGACTTTTGGAAGGACTTTGAGCTCAACGCAACTCTCTTCTAACACGTTTTGTATTCACGAATTATTAATTACTTATATCATACCTTGGAAGACTTTGCTATAGCAAAGGGTTCCCTGAGCCTTTGGCTTGTTCTGACAAGAATAGCTCATCTTTGCACAAAGGAATGTGATATTTGGCAAGCTCAAGGATCTCGAGCCGGAGCTCTAGCGGCAAAGTCCTCCAGCACGATAAGTTATACTGGGCGATAATGTTGATGATGATGATAAAGTCCGAGTAACTCCCTTCCCCTTTCCCCTGCGATTTACCCTACCTATCTTAGTAGGCAGGTAGGTAGCTATAAAGGTAGCAGCGGCATACGAGAGAAAGAAAAATCCAGGAAGACCTTGGGCATTATTGACTGAAAATCTTGCAATACTATCGTGAATTGAGCGCTGATATGGTTGGGCTTGATAATTATATCCACACAGAAAAACGAACCCCGTTTCTGTGTCGTCTTCGACCTTATGGTCAAGATGATCACGTTCCTGTAGACGTGGACACACGTGTAGCCACAGATCCAAAGGCCTAGGTCGCCAATAATAAATTCACGATGATTTAAAGGAAATAGTTGGCGGAAAATGGTTGGATAGAGTCATCAGTTTGCATATGTAAGTCTATTTCTCGTTTCCACCAGCCATCGACATGACAACCACGATAGCAATAACCCACCAATACCTTATTCAAATGTTAGCATTTTACTCTCTCATTTCGGTTCAACAATACTCACTTTTGCAAAAGAGACTTAGGCTCCTCCTCAGCTGCCTTTTTACCGTTTGGTGACAGCACAACCGGCTTGTTCAACTCAGGCTGAGCCCCCTTCTTCTCTGCGATAACAACGGCCTTAGGTCCAAAATCCCTTGTCTGGCCAGCATCGACTCTCACACCCTTGAGCGCCACGCTGCGCACATCGCCGCTCTCGTCTACAGAGAGTAATATCGTAGGCGCGTAACCGCGGTCAAAGTTCTCCGCTGAGGCAGCAGTTGTACCAGCAATCCAGCGCGAAGACTTGGGGTCGTAGATCCCAACACGGACGAGAGATGCAGACTCGGGCAGCTCAGGGGCCTCGTAGGAGACGATCTCGGTGGAGATGAGTGAGGCGGCGTCGTAAGCGACTTCAGCTAGGATTTGAGGTGTCAAGGGTGAGGAGAGGATAGGTTGGATGTAAACTTGAGCTGTGCGCTGCTCAGCTGCCACGAGCACAGCGGTGCAGATGGTTGATAGGAAGGTTGCGATCCTCATTGCGAGCAGTGGGCAATGATTCGCCCTTGAGTGGTGATGTAGTTGATGGATGGTGAGTATGGGAGCTCTGGAGCTTGGAAACGACACATGGGTACTTCCTGGTAGGTACTAACCTACCAGCTTCAGAATGAGGCGGTAGATTGTCGGCTAATTTATTTCAACGAACAATGGGCATCATGCATGCACAGTCAAGATAGTTAATCGATATAAGGCAAAACAGGCAGAGCTCTAATCGTGTTGATCAGGAACTTTTTAATCATAAGTTGCAGATTGCAGTGAATGCTCACAGTTGAGTCTAGACGCTCTCGTACCAAAAGTTTAACATAATACAACCCTTGCATTCCCTCCCATCCGCGTACCACTTCAATGTAATCGGAATAAAACCGCCCTTATCCCCAACGCCTGTAAATGCAGTGCTATGCAGAATCAACTCTTTTCCTCTCGTCATGGTTCCGTTAATGAAATTAGTAAAAATCTCCTGGCTGCACAGCCAGCTTGGTTAGGTAGTCCTAGAAATTGGAGGGATTGTTGGCCTCGATGCCAAATAAAAAGCCAATTGGTGTCAAGTCTAACTGTCCGAAGGCTCATTCTCTCCGTCTTCGGGGTCATCATCCTCATCTTCGTCTTCGTCGTCTGAACCATCCGATTCTAAAACATATCCAGGGGTTCGTTCCACTAGACCCTTGTAATATGCCACGAGGACTTCAGGGTTTGGAACAATTTTCCAATCGACTCGGTAGAGAAATTCCAACTCTAGTAATTTGAGTTCTGCTACTCGAACGCCACCGACCCTAGCATAAGTGGTATTGTTCCAGAAAGAGTCCGATAACCCTTTGGCAGCGACTGTAGCCGCAGTAATTAAAAATCGATGCACAGTCAACGTATTGATGGTGAATTCTTGGTACATGGCGCACAGCCGATCAATATAGTAAACCATGGCCAAGAGAAGCGGCGGTGTTAGGGTCGCATGTCTAGCCAAACGGTGGAGGTAATCTCGAACTGAGATTCCAGGTGCGGTTCTGTGTCATGTTAGCTAAATCCATTAAATCCGAATGAGCAGAGCCGCAATCTACCTTGAGTGAAAGCGTGTCAATCCGCCATTCGAAATTCGGATGGCGTCATTCGTAGCGATCAACTCTGCCAACATATGCGCAACCAATTCTACCATATCCTCTACACCACAGAGTTCATAGCGATCTGGCAACACTTTTGGTGGCGGCGTAGCAGGTTTGGCACGTTTACTCGTCTGTGGTGAAGAGTTCGCAGCAGCAACGGCATCTAGATTGGTCGGGGTGGGAGAGCTTCGACGTTTAGTTGGTGACACCCCGCTTAGTGCTTGGCCTTGGCCTTGCTGCACAGTCTGATCGTGAGAAGCGCGTGAGGGGGCAGGTGATTGTGCAGGATGCGCAGAGGCTTTTTGAGAAATTGATGACGGCGGTCGTTGGACTTCGGGTGAGCCATGTATACCAGAGTCATTCGCCACATACTGTCTCGGACGCTGTATTGGAGAAGACTTCATAGCGTCGGCGGACGATGGAGTGTCGGAGCGGGTAGAAGGCCGTCGCCGGAGAGCTGGCGAAGGCTTTGAGGAGTGCTGAGGGGACGACGTCGCATATCGAAAAGCGGTAGGCGAGGCATTGTCGGAGGCGGACAAGGCTGGAGACGTCTTCAGCATGATTTGCGGCGCATCGTCGAGCTGTCGGTTCGTCGGGACGGTTGAAGGATCGAGGGGTTTTGGGCCAGTTGAAGTAGTAGTGTACGATTGGTTTAGGTTGGGTTGTGTTGCGTTTTTGGTAGGGCTGAAAAGATGCGACGTTGAATGTCGGTAAAGCAAGACAAGGGTCTTTCAAGATTGAAAAATGGCAACGAAGGAGTTCAAGTTGGAGGTTGAACTCGATACGGTAGACAAGTCAAGTACGGGGTTAGTGGAATCGCGAATTAGATCATGGCGTTTGATCGATTTCAATCCATGTGGGCGCGACACTGGCGCAATCTGCAGTGTCAGGAACTGCGCTATGGACGAGTACGCTCACCGAAGGATACCAAGCTAAAGAGTTAGCAAGAGATCCTAAAGTGACCTGGGCTGTTCAAGGTGGTATGGTATTTGAGAGAGTGGCTGCTGTTTGTCAGATACGATACGACACGCGCACAAAGAGTTTGGGATGACGAAGGTGGGCTGGCAAGCCTAGCATTGGTAGGTGAAAGTGAGGTGAGTGGGTAATAAATCAACCGGACAAGCCCGGGGCCGGGGGGTCCACAGGTCAAGATATGGGTGGCAGATGTTACAGCACGTAGACTTTTCTAAGCAACTGTACAACTTTGCTTCGGATGGAGACCGCGCTCTCACTCTCTCAGGTCGGCTGCCCTGCAGAATTTCTCTCCAGTGGAGGCCTGGTTGTTAGTCGCTGTCTCAACGGCCTGGCAGGCTCATCTGCTCACTGGACGAGGCCTTGGCAGAACTTGGCAGAATGACTCGGGTCGGATGGCCAACTGAACAGCAAATCTTTCAATAGGTCCAGGCCCGAGATGGGTGAATCTTTTCTCAAAGCTTGATGATTCCCCCTCTCCAGGGGTCTCAAGCGGGAGAAGAGGCCTGAACCAACGCCAGCCACTAACCGGGGTGATTGGTTAGATAGAATTTGCATGTATCTCTTGACCACGGTGAATCCCTTAGTGGTGTAAGAATGGCGTCAGGGTGTGTTTGAGCAAACATGATCCAGGCAAAGGCAAGTATCGTGACTGTAGGCAAAGCGCTCTTGTGATTGATCATTGAACCTTTCCCAGGACAATATCAAGTTCGCGAACGTGCACTCAGCCACGGCATGGCATGGCATGATCAGCACAATAGTAAGACACGGCACATAATGAGGATATACCGCTCAAGCACTAGACCACTAGTCAGACACCTTAAAGGTCCCTGCTTAGACGAAGGAGGTCTACGTTACCCCAGATGCACCTCATTCCCCAGAAAGAGCCTCGTACAGCCTGGCCCTGCATTTCGACGTTCGTGAGCCACTCAAACCACAACGTGGACGGAACGACAAGCCGTCAGAGGTTGGAGCATATCACCACAGTCCAGATCATCGCTCAAATGCCGCGAGCGGATCATTCCAAAATCGGAGCTCGGTGAAGGATAGATCGAGTTTGCGGAGACATTGCGATGTCGTTGCTACGAAACAGTCGGTCTAAGATGTTAACGCGGCTAGCTGAGATGAAAGAGGAAGGTTTTGTAATGTTGTCTCTGAGGCGCCTCCGTTGTGGGTTTGATACCTGTCATAAAATTTAACAGAAATTGATTGAGTCACTACGAACACGGTCGACTATCGAGACGCTTCTTTTATGACGAGGCGACATGGAAGATAAGCCTATATTCGCGCATGGCGTCTTGTAAGTCTCATTTCATCCCATTTCCTATCCAATTCAACCCAGTGCCCAATTGGATTTATTAGTATGCAAAATCTTGATCCAGGCGATCATGGGTCCTCATAGTGCATCAGTAGTATTAGTGACATTTGAATCCACCATGGAAATGCCTTGCTAAAGTTCTCGATAATGATAGCTCCATGGCTATCTGTTATTCAATCCGTGGTTCAATCAGTAGTTGTGAAACCAACGGCTATCATACCGAAGTGGTCGATTGATGTGGTACAAATGAATGAGAACATCGCTCTGGATACGGTGTAGTCAGAAAAGATCGCACTGGAGCTCAAATTATTTGGCTTCTCAGAGGATATGGTTCAACTGGCGGGTATAATCCATTTCACCGAATGAACATCGGTATGGTAAACGTAAATTGACTGCCCAAGCTCTCTCAAATCAAGTCTTGATCAGGTCAAATTGTCCCACGTTTCTCAAGCAGTAAAATAGGCAGAAACCGAGCTCCACGTTTCTTATAATGCAAACTAGTTACACAGAGCCTTACAAACTCGGCTGAAACTTATTAATTCAAAGAGAAGGGACGAAATCAGACAAACTAGAAGAGGACTCATGATAGCTTCAACATCATGTCTTATACCAGGCTCAACACCAGTGGCCCACGACCACGGCTGTGGCTGCTCAAGCCACAGTGCTATCCAATCAATTCTTTATCACTGCGATAAGATGGAAGCACGTGCCATCTTTCGGAGTCCGCCTTGCTTGACGTGATCTACGACGCCATGTTTCCCCAGACTGGCTTTGATAGCAACTTGAGTGTTTCTTAACAGTTGACAACTTGAATTTCAGCAGCATCGAACCCCAATTTCTTCACTTATCGTATCGCCATCGGCCAACTTTAATCACCTCGTCCCCGATTCTTCTCTTCTCAAGCAAATCCCAGGAGTTATCAGCGCATATTGTTTCATTGGATGTGAAGGCGTCAACATCATTCAGTGTCCTCGGTTTCTAGGTGACCCCCATTGAATAGCAGCCACAGCTACGTAATTCCGTCAATCTACATACAAACCCCCTCTTCGACGCCGTTCTCTCGCGACTCCAACTTCTTCAACCTATCTCATTTTAATACAAACACCCGTCATCATGGCTCGAGCGCAAAGCCACCCGATTCTGGCTCAGTTGCGAAGCGCTAGAACACTGCCCGAGCAGACCGACGCCTTGAGAGCTCTCAAGAATGAAATTATCGGCCATTTACAAAGAAAAGAGCAATGGGTTGGCTTGGGTGTTCTTGATCCTATTGTCAGAACATTGGCCTCGGCCAGGTCACCAGCGAAGCCAAATGGGAAGGACTCTCGATATCCTCTACCACAGAGGCCGTTATCGGAAGATGAGAATGTGAGGTTACAGGCGCTTCAACTGGTGGCGAGCTTTGCGAACGGTATGCTCTCAACAAAATGCTCGACATCGCCTTGTTATAGTTACTGATGGACATGATTAGGAGGACCTGCTTTCCTTGCGCCCCTCCATGCGGCACGCGCAATTCCCTCCCTCATGGCCAACGTATCGCCGTTCACCAACGCACCGCAACTCGTCGTCGCAGCCCTCAAGGCATTGACCGATATAGCTGATGCTTCCGCCCTGGCGGCCCCATCTTCGCCCATCAATGCCGAATCTCTAGCGGATACCGTATTCTCTGCCCAATATCTCGATTCGTTCGGGGCAATGCTTTCTAACACTTCTACGAATATCCTCCTACAATCGCAAGTTTCGCTCGCAGCAGGCTTGATATCTCGGCTTTGCCGTGAAGAGCGTCATCAACAAGCTTTGGCAACATCCGGAGTATTAGATGCCCTAGCAACCCGTTTAGCAAGCGTTGCGGTGCTTCGTGGAGAGGTTGTTCCAGGGGCTGATGCTTCAGCAAAGAAGGATGGGCTCTTTGAGGCTTTCCCCGAGCCGGCGCCTCAAACGTTAAGATTGGATTCGATACTTGAGGCTATCGGTGCTATTCTGGGAGATTCAAAATATCGGGCAAATAGACTGGCAAATTCTCCTTCTATTCTCGCTGTATTCCCACCGCTCAAATTTGAGCCTGCAGGAAACCCGGAAGTCGAGCAAACAGGCCCTAACAGTACACGCCAACATCCAGTGACTGCGATGGAGTATATGCTTCCGATTAACTTACCCCGAAGCCAATCTTCATCCCCTTACGGCTCCGTACCACCAGGTGGCTCTTCGGATTCGCAATCATCTAGTCGATCTTCTCTGAACAAGTTCAGCTCGTCTGCTCTATGGGATTCGCCTCGATTTCAAACCACGGGCTCGAGTCCTGGAGATACTGAGGAGATTGAGAGCCCCTTTATTCCCTGGCTGGTCCGGCTCGTGAGGCGCTCAGGTGAATATGAGCGCCTCCTTGCCTCTGCCCTTCTTGCCTCACTTATCAAAGGTGGAGTAACAAGCAAAGGGCTGAGAGAAGCGAGCCTGGGACTTCTCGTGGTACCGCTTCTCGTCCGCATGATAGCAAAAAATGACAAAGACGTCTCAGATGTCAATGAGGTCGACAATGCGGTCAAACGCACTATTCTGGAGCGCGCACCAGTGGTTTTGGCACGCATGATTACAGATAGCGAGTATCTCCAGAAGGCAGCCTACGAATGTGAAGCCGTGCCTGTGTTGAGTCGGCTTCTCAAACACGCCTACACTCCTGTAAAGGAAGGCACGCGGTCCCATTACTGGTCACCTCATGCAGATGTCGATATGGAGGTTGAGAACAACTCCCCAGTAGCCCAACTTGGTCAGGAGGGTCAGAATGAGCTCCTGGTTCACCGACTCAAAGTGCGCGAAAGCACATTGAAGGCCATCGCAGGGCTCGCAGGGGGTAAAGAAGACTACAGAAAAGCATTCGTGGCCGAAGATGTGGTTTCCTACGTTGTCGAGTCCCTTTCGGAGTATCCCAGAAGACCGCAGAGTGCAAAGGAGCGAGGCTCAGAAAAGCCAAGCGCTGAGACTACCAGAAAGGGGGAAACGGCAGGATATGGCGCCAACCCTGCTTCCGTGATCGTTGCCGGATGTCATGTTGTTCGAATGCTTTCGAGATCAGTCAATATTCTGCGAACATCCTTGGTTGACCACGGAGTTGCGCTGCCCATCTTCCGCTTCATGAAGCATCCGGACGTCAATGTTCAAATCGCTGCTACTTCGGCTATCTGCAACCTGGTCCTGGACGTCAGCCCAGTGCGAGAGGTATGTTTTAAGGAACCATATTGGTGGAGTAGTAAAACTAATTATCGCAGCTTCTTGCCGAGAATGGTGTTGTCACTGTTCTTTGCGAGCACGCCCACTCACAAAACCCGGCTCTTCGCTTGAACGGATTGTGGGCGCTCAAACACTTTGTAGATGCCGTTGGACCCGACCTGAAGAAAGCATGCCTAGCTGAGCTTGGATCTCACTGGCTACAGCAGTTGGTTTGCGACGATACGGAAGACATGGCCTTACAGCTGGCGAAGGAACGGGAAGCGTCGGGACTAGATATGGACGACGATGTGGATATGCAACCATCAGACGAGCCCCATCGGTGGATTTACGGATCAAACGGAATGCTTCGAGAACTCAACGCAGCCGACTCTTCAAGGCTGAGACAAGTTGAAGACAAGCTCGCAGCGGTGCGAGAATCCGAATTAAACCCGGTCCGGAGAGCACGGAATGACGATGTAGCGATCCAGGAACAAGGGCTGGACATGATTCGGAACCTGATTGGAAGGCCTCGAAGTGGTCTGTCACCAGAGACAACGAATGAGACAACGGAGATGATCGACTTTTTGCTGCATGAATTCGGAAGCGAACGATTATTCGAGATACTATCATCCAAACTGCGACCCAAGGTGCATCGACCTTTTTCCCGTCGAGTTACGAGTGGCCGAGAGCCCAGGATGTTCCACCCACAGAGCAAGATTATTGTGGCCGTTATATACGTCCTAACGCATATCGCGGCCAGCATCTCACGACATCAGCAAATGATCATCGCACAAACAGATCTTATGAAACTTCTGGCGCAGCAGGCCAACAACAAAGATCGAGAAGTCCGGGTAGCGCTATGTCACTTCATCATCAATCTGACTTATAAGGATGACGATGGTGAGGCTCAAGCTTGTGCCATCAGGGCGCGCGAGTTACAAAGGCTTGGGTTTCACTCCAAAATGGAGGCTCTTACAAAGCAAGATGGAGATTTGGATGTGCGGGAGCGAGCAAAAACAGCAGCGTATCAGATGGAGCACGCGGGATACTGAGGTGTGTCTAAAGGTAATGGCGGAGAAAACATGGTGGTGTCGGAAGGCGTTGATTGGAATGGTGTGTTGTATACTAGACCACAAAGGCCATTGATGTAACCTATATTATGCTTCTTCTTGACATAGCGTGGTTGAATAATGATATCTGATGGGAGGACTTGCGGTAAGCTTGCAGTGCAGTCACAATTTCCGTCGCATAGAGTCACATTTCCTTGGGTGATATGCTGGAATTAACGGCAGACGTTGTATCTGCCGGGGCTAAGAAGCTAAGAGGAACAAGGGTGTGTATTGCTCGTGACTGATATGCTACAAGGGTTGAAGGGTGTATGAATGGGCTGGATCAAGTTCATGACGGAGGGTTGCCATGCAATGAAACGTGGAATGACACGGTGAAGGGAGAATGACGGTGGTTTATGAAGAGTATCAGTACATTATCACCCCGAGAGAAACATCATCATTGAAAAGGAGGAATCTCGATACCCAAGAGCCTAGAAATGCGAATACGTAGTAGATGTTTGAGCGCGTGATGTGTTGTGAGAATAAGGTAGCTAGACATTGAAATAACCTTGTATACACATGCAGTCACTTTGACGTCAATCAATCAGCCCTGTCTGTGTAAATGCTCCGGCTTCAAGCGGGACCTCTGCTCTTGTGAGTTCTTTTGGGTTCTGCAGGGTTGAGGCTAGGCATGGAAAGGGATTGACTGTAGGGTTTAGTATATGGAAACCACATGACAACTCGGAAGCCACGGAATTAAACGACTTGATATGATAGTGGCATGACATGCTTTTTGTTTTCGGTGTTTGTTACTGTTACCTCGTTGTTGGTGACGATGATTCACTGAGGATGATACTGAGGATCTGACTGACAAAGATGATTCTTGCCATCAGATTCATGACTGTTTGTTGAATCAATCGCCAAGTTAAGCTCATCGAGAGGTAACGGCTTGGCTGACAGTTCGACCATGTCATATTGAGCATCGCCAAGGATGTTTACATACCCCAGCAGAGCCTCGTCCATCCAATCCATGCATGCACATGTAAGTAAGTACCCGATACACAACGAGACTCTTTCACGTCATTCTCCGAGAGAGAAAAGAAGAAGTGCAACGCTCTGGGGGTTTCTTTGCTTCTTCCCACTAGCCAATGGGATTGAACGGGTGATGTGAACTTGACCAGGTGGAATCAATGATTCCTCAGATTGGGTGAAATGTGTTGAGGCATCGACGATGTTCACTGGGTGATTAGATCTTGGGCGTCTTCTATATAAGAGCGCGTCTCCTCTCGCTTTGAAATTCGCTTTCTCGTTCTTCACTGGAGATATAAAAGCATACAAGTTACCGATCAATTGAACAAGAGCTTTCCAAAAGTCACAAGGCTTTATTATTGGTTGCACTCAATATGCCTGCTGTCATCTTCGCTCGAAACGATGCTCTCGACGTCAATCCCCAATCGGGTGACGCTCGTCTCTCTGATGCTGGTTCAGACTGGCTCTGGGCTGTAACAGCTATCTACATTGTCAGCTTTGTATGTCTTCCCCTATTCTTACGGATATCATCACACAGCACTAACATACATCAGCTCGCCTACTTTGCTCTCAGCTTCAAGCCTCGCAACAATGAGAGAATCTTCCACTACCTCTTCACAATTGCCCTCTTCGTCGGGGCAATCGCTTACTTCTCCATCGCCTCTGGAATTGCATACTCTGTTATCCCTACACAGCGTAACCTCGGTCGTGCTCTTTCATATCAGATCTACTTCGCCAAGTATATCAACTGGGTTGTCGCATTCCCTATCATCATTCTGGCTCTGGGACTCATGAGTGGTGTGAGCTGGGCTACTATCCTGTTTAACATCTTCCTCGCCTGGATCTGGTAAGTCATTCCTCACTGCAACGAACGTACAGATACTTACAGCAGCAGGATCATCTCGTACCTTTGCTCCGCATACACCACAACCTCGTACAAATGGGGATTCTTCGGTTTCGGCACATTCGCCTATCTCATGCTTGCCTTCCAGACTCTCCATCCCGGCCGAACATCCGCTGCTCGTCTGGGCCTATCTCGGGACTATCTCATGCTCGCAGGCTGGGTGAACCTTCTCTGGATGCTGTACCCCATCGCCTATGGCATCTCTGACGGCGGCAATGTGGTTGGTGTCACTGGAAGCTTCATCTTCTTTGGCATCCTCGACGTCCTTTTGATTCCCGGGCTCGCTTTTGCCTTCATGTTCCTGTCCAAGCGCTGGGACTACGGTGCGCTTAACTTGCACTTTACGCAGTATGGTCGTGTCAATGCTGGCAATGGTGTCTTCCCTGAGAAGAGGGCTCCTGTTGCTCCTGCAGCTGAACAACCTGTTCCTGCTACTGCCACGGCTGCGGTCTAAGATGTGTTAATCATGTCTGACTTGACTGGGAACACTAGCATCTACTTGTTGGATACTGTGATGAGTGCGTTTATGAATAACGTGACTATGAGGACACTCGTTTCGAACATGGCCAAGGTATGGGAGGAAATAATGGTGAAAATTTGGGGGAGTGCTGATGATATCTTTCGGGTCGGGTTGTTTTTGAGATACCCTCATTGAACGGGAGTTGGACACCCTTTGGTTGTTGATGTTGACATAACTTAATAGTTAATTATCATTGATATTGTCATTCTCTCATAGGTACTCGTACTAACAACTGGAAATCATTAATCGTTGACATTATCTAACGAGTTTCTATTATAGAAACAGACAACCAAATAAAGACACTCAATATTATCACACTGACACTACCGTAATCACCGTAGAAGGAGCTGTACGCACTAACTTAGTTATCATCAAAGGCGACATTCATCGATCGTGATCCTTCGATTTTGGAATTACCCTAAACCAACCACATCAACACAACGAGGTCAGCACATGTCTCATTCCGGAACTTCCAATGCGGCCCAAGCCTGGTCCCCTTTACACCTTCAATAAAACCAAGACAAACCAAGTCTAGTCTATCACTGCCCAACGGGATTAACGTCACTCTCTCCCCACGACAAGCCACTTCGCTCCTTCGCGCTCTCGCGGTTGCCAAGCAACTATTTCTTCAACCACTGCTACATTGTATTGAGACTACAGCACATTAACCAACCGGTGCTAACCTAGACAGAAACTACAATAGACGCCATTTGTTCACTGTACTTCTATTGTTCAAGTAACCTTCAAGCTTCATGTCTGGCTGTTTCGTTACATCGTTCTTATGTTGTGGCTTGCGCAAGGGATGAGATCGTCACGCAGCTCTGAGACATACGCCCCGAGAAAAGGGAACCCGGTATGCCAGCTCCACGTGGGCAGGGAGCACTAAGTTTAACTGCCAGGGATTGAAGATGGAGGCTGTGACTACTGTGAGATTTTGGAGAAACGGCTGAGTCCTGAAGGTTTGGACCAGAGAATCAGACGTCATTGCCCTTTGGATTAGAAGAGATTGTCATGAAGCTGCTAAAGGACACTAGAGTCTTCCACAGAAGAACAGCAGATCCGTTGATTGACATGGAAGTGACAGTTACCATGTACACCTCAGTATCACCTGTCAAGCTAGGCGTCTCCCAGCAACTCGACGGATACTCACTCACTGTGCCATCTCTCATCGGCCCATTCTTTCGTCCCACAGTGCAACATACCATACCTGTCAAACTACGAGTCCCCCCAGAGCCTGCCGACGTGGAACAGCGAGACTAGACACGACTCTGCAAAGCGTCAGAGTTGACGTGCTAGTTTGCGGGTTGCTGCATGTTTGCTGATCTACACGACATTGTCTAACAAACGAAGGCTTCTTCAACATGTCCCATTGCTAAACGCAACGGATAGCTCCCCCGATATGTGAGCACTGGATTGCGTATTCGTGTGAGGAGATACACTATGGCTGTTTCAGCCGAGTTGTTGACTTTGTTAGACTGGCTTGGCTATAATAAGCAAAACCAGTATCTCATCCTCGGCACTTGTCGAGACATCGATATGACTGGAAAGCTTGTAGACAGGGCCACTCGCTCATCAATAATAACGAAAAAGAAAAGGCGCTACTGGCTCACTTGACTTGGTGGCATGTGTAGGGCAGTCGACCAAACCGGAGGATATGTCCGGTGCACTGCAAGTGGCGTCCAATATCATCGAAGCCAAAACTTCTCACATAGAAGACCGGCCTGTGAGCTGGTAATGCCAGCGGCCGCAGATGCCCAACAGCGGGGAGACGCTGTCTCCCCGCTCCGGCTCCCTTACACAAGAAACTCGATAAGAGACATTGGACCAAGACAGGTTTACCGTGATACGAGAAGCTGGTGTTCCCAAGAAGAGGGGTAAATCAGAGTCCAGGCTGTGAGACAGAAACTGGATTGTGGCTTGCAATGGGCAACCATAGACGAGAGCGAGAAAAAAAAGCAAAGGCAATGTCTAGAATCTACAAGTTGGTGCTTGTGCCTTGGCTTCTGGGCTCAAGTGACAAAGAAGGCAGAAGGGAAAGTATCCGATCGAGACGTAAGCCCGCGCCGTGTCGTGCCGCGCCATGTTGAGACAACGACCAACAAGATCGGCAGCGCAGGGAGAGAAGGAATAGCCTACTGAAGCTTAGTATGTAGCTAAGCCTCGACATCTACCTAGAGCTGAGCCATCTGCGGGTATCGTCAACGGTGTGAGTTGTGATATGGTCAGTTCCGATTGAAGGGAGGGTTTGAGTTGAAACGGCTTGTCTCAGGAGCATATCTTCCTCGGAACCTATTTTCCAAAATACAGGCCATTTGTTTTTGGCTGGGAGATGGGGAGAATGGGGAGAATGGTCTGATGTCTCAAAGTTAATATCATTGGAATGCCTTGCGGGAATGGTCTGGAGGCTCGCGTCCGCTTGGCGGGTAAACGCGTGGAAATTCAGTAGAGATTTGTCATTCAAAAGCAAAGACAATGACGTCCCAGGGCTTCCAGCCTGATGCGGTGTTCCCTTCATTCTGTGATCAAGGTATTTGAGAGGGCTGGGGTAGA